ATGAGCTCCTGAAGCGACCACCTCCTGCGGCGGCGGCTGAGACGCAGAAAAACACAAAAACGAGCTGCCTCTTCTCGTGCTGCTCGTGAGCCTCGACGGGTCACGATAATGCGGGTAGAGGCCATTGTATATGCGGCGGAGCGTTGTCGGAGCTCCGCTCAGACGACGTTGGGAACACTCCTGTCCGAGCTTATGGCAGCGGCTAGAAGTGTACGCTCCGCACACGATGCAAAAGAAAAGTGTTTTCTCGGCATCACCCTTTAAGACACGGCAGTGGGCAAGAGTGTGACCAAGGCTGACGTCTAATGTTTTACGCCACGTGCTACTCATGCCTTTGCACCCTAACATGGGTCTGGAAGACGGGTCGGTCCATAAAGCAAGGCAATGCAAGCATCGCGACCGGCCTTGTTCGAGGTCCTGCCACGCATGCCAACCCCTGATTTTAAAAACTTGGACCTAGGACCAACGCTCATACGATCGAATTTCTCCTGAGGGAAGGCCGAAAGTACCTTTCCACAAACACGTGCAACTATCCGCAGTAGTTTACATTTCCTGTCCACCTCCTCGCTTTCATTCTGAGAGGGTTGGGGGTGAGAGAGGAGAGCTGTTTTGGCCTGAGCATCTGCGTGCCAGTTTCCCAAGCCGATACGACGTTCATCATCTGGCAGAGCGTCAATCGCAGCCAACTGGCGGTGCGCTGGCGTATGAGAGACAACGGGTACATGGCCGGCGACTTCGTGCAGCAGCGATCCGCGACGCAGACCAGCGTAACGATGCTTCCTAGAAACTTGATGCATGGGATCAGCACGGCATAGCTTCACGACGGTCAGGTTGTCCCCGTACCTGCTCCCTCCGAGCTGCTGGAACATGGGAAGCAAAGCCATCGCCTGATGTTCGGCGGCCTGTGATGTTTGGGGAAGGGTGTCCAGGGCGGTGCCACGAGCAGCAGCAACAATTTCATTGGGTCGGGACCCCAAAACGATCCAGGAGTAGGAGGCCCGCGAGAGCTCACGGATAAAATGTCTGCTGGCCGAACCGTCCACGCACACATCAAGCCCCCGCAGGTCGATCGTGTCCCAAGGCACAGCGGCCCCCGAGGCATCATACAGTTGTGGGTTAGGCTCGGGGGAAAGGGGGCGGGTACGAGGCTTCAGGGTGTGACCATTTCATCTCATCAAAGAAAAGCCGATCCTCGCTCTCGAGCGCCTCCGCATGCCATTTGACGGAAACCCCGTCAAGCGCTTCGGCTCGTGCCGCAGCCGCCGTCGGGTGCATGCACTGCCACAGTCGGTGTCGCACGCTGTCGGGCTGCCCGCAAAGTGGGCACAAGCCGTCGGCCTGGTACCCACAGGCGCGAGCTCGCGCACGAGTCCACACTCCCTTACAAAAACAGGTGAGAGCCAGATATTTTTCCCGAGGGCTAAGGCCCTTCCCTTGGGGCCCCAGGATTTTCTTGAGGGGCTCAACACAAACACGATCACCGCCAAACCCAGGAGTGTGCTCGGCCAAGGCCCGCTCGTGGGCCCTCTGGGAAGCGAGATCCAGGAGTTGAGCGAGCATAGAAGGGGAGGTGTAACCTAAATGGAGTTCTCTCTCCTTATCGTCGCGAAAGGTCAAGGCCGACGTAGAAACCCACCCCAGTCTATGAAGGCTGAGATGCATACGCTGCACAGGTCCCCTAGAGGACCGCCAGGTGACATCATCATCGAAGGGTATCGTGCGCCAGATCGAGCACAAATCCTTTACCGTGTACTGGGATATCTGTGGACACGTGATCGCCGTCCACACCACACCACACCAGTGAAGCGCAGGCGCAACCGCAGCGCGCCACACAGGATCGCCTAGGATGGCGAGCTTGGCGTGCAAAGAGCATCCCTGGTGGCGAGGGGGCTTGTAGGCTAAGAGGACCCGTCGAGCCTGCTGGAGTTCCTGGTTGCTCATACCTGTCACCCCCGATCCAAAACTGGCCGCAGGCAAAACTCCAGCGACGTATATTTTCCCGATACGACCTTTCTGACGAGGAAGGGCATGACGATATCGCTGGAGGACGCGGTGCCGCCGACGCATATCACGAAGGCGGGCCCGTCGTCTCCACAGTGCTCCAGGTGCCGAACGACGCTGGCCAGGAGCAAGATCGGTGCCGAGGGAGACCACGCTGTTAGATACTTACCCTGACATGCGCCCAAGATGTCGTGCGATGCTCTTGGCCAGCGTGAGCGAACTACCAAACGTGCAAACTTTGTCTGGATGCACAGCAACTCGAAGCTCATCTCTAAAGATGATGAACAAAGCTGCTGCTGCTCGGATAACGTTGCTAATCACCTCCTCCTCCGTCCCCTCCGTCGTCACGCTGTCGTCGTCAACGTAAGGGGATAACCACACATCACCGTGGCTGGCTACAAACTTATCGAAGGCCTCGATGCTATAGACGCGAGCGAAGACATCGTTAAAGATATCACCAGCGGGTAAGCCCGAGGAGGCGAAGTAGGGCACAGCAGCATATTGGGCACCAAGCCGCAACAACCGCGGGCCTCGCCAATAATTATACGTCGTCTTCACTATCGTAGCGTCGATGCCATAATCTAAGGCGCGCTGGCGCAGCACGGAGAGATCGAAGGACTCGTAATACTTAGTCCCGTCCCATATGAATCCCCCCGTCACCTTATCATCATGGTGCGCGACCTCGGCCCGAACGGCCTGATGCCACACAGCGTCCTCAGCACTCCTACCTGGTCCGAAGGCCCAATACTTGCGAGGATACCTATCGTTGAAATCCGCAATGACGGAGCGCCGCAATCTCTCCCATACACGAACGGGTCCCGCACATAACAAAATGGGTCTCAGGCCCCCTTTCGGTTTTTTCAAGCAAGGGAAAAAGGAGCCAAAACAGTTGTTTAGGGAAGAGGCCCAGGGACTCAATCGCTTGAACAAGCGCCGCGAAAGTTTCAAGAGCCGCGTCCGACCCGAGGCTAAAATGACGAGGATGAAAGCCATCGAGGGATTGGGACGTGTGGTGGCTGAAACTGCACGACGCATTCCTTAGCTCAGCCGCCGTCGGCCGAGGCAGGTGGACACGGTCGGGCACGCAGACTTCAGGTGGCACGTGAGACGCGTGCCAAAACTTAGCCAGCTCCTCCCCTTCACGGCGAAGGAGGAGCTGAGGATTACTGCTGAAAACTCCAGGATGGGTCTGGACCACGGTGGGATTCCACTTAGCTTTTAACTTAGTAAGGCGATGCATCCCCCTGAGGATGAGGATGAGGAGGAGGAGGAGGAGGGGGAGGGGGAGGAGGAGGGGGATGATGAAGATGATGATGCTGATGATGATGACGATGCTGATGCTGATGCTGATGCTGATGATGATGATGATGATGATGATGATGATGCTGATGATGGTGATGATGATGTTGATGACGACGATGATGATGATGATGATGACGAGGAGGAGGAGGGGAGGAGGAGGAGGAGAAGAAGGAGGGGGAGGAGGAGGAGGCGGACGACGACGACGACGACGGGACTGACGAGAAGAGAAAACAGGAGGAGGAGGAGGAGGGGAAGAAGGAGGAGGGTGCAGGAGAAAGACGACAAGGCGGAGTGGAGAAGGACGAGAGGATGAGAGCCAGAGGAGGTGGTCAATGATAAGTAATGATGGAACGCAGAACGAAGGGATGAAGGAAGACAGGAAGGAATAAAGGAAGGAAGAGGTGTAGAAGGACAGGATGCAGAGTGATCAAGGTCTCCAGCGGTAGAGGAAATACCTTGGGTCACCCGTCGCCCACAGCCCCTGAAGCCTGCTGCGACCTGAAGCATCGGAACGTCAGGCTGATCCTGCGGCCACGGCGCTTCTTGGCTACGGGCACGGCGTGCTCGTGCTATATTGCATCTTCGTGGGACCTCGTCTGTTCCGTCACGCCCCATACCCACGTCGAATCCGTGTCGAATCCATGACGGGCTCGTAGAATCTGCGTCGAATCCATGCCGAATCCGCGTCGAGTCCGCATCGAGCCCGCGCCGGGCACAGGCAAAGACTCCCATTTTGGAGACAGACGGGGTCCCCCGAAGATGCAATGTAACTTGTGGGTGCGCTGGCAAGCGCCCCCCATGACGACGACGTCCCCGTCGCCGAGCTCCAGGTCGACCTTCGCGCCAGCGCCCCTGAGTCTGGGTGTGACACGGAACGTCCGCGTCTCTCCCCACGACACCGCGAAGATCGGCGAGCCTGGGACGAGGCCGTGCTCGTCATCGGCGTGGGCACCAATGGAGCTGGTAAGGCTTCGAGTTGTGCGCAGACAGCCCCCCAGGCATTCCCAACTGGCCTCAGCAGGCCTCCCGAGGAGGCCGTGGCGGTCTCAGCAGCCTGGCGCCGCCTCTGGCGGAGCCCCCGCTCTGCGCCCCAGGGTTGAGGTACCGAGACCGCCCCAGACTGCTCGGGGGTTCCGGTGAGGCCTGTTGGAACTCCTCGGGAGGCCTGTTGAGGCCAACCTAGACTAACTGGGGGGCGGCTGTCTGTGCGCAGCGCGAAGCCTTACCACGATGGAATGCCCGCCGCCGTCGTACCAATTCACCAGGCAGGCCTCGTACCGCCACTCCCGGAGGGGGCTGCCGCTCGCGGACAGCATCCGCCGGAGCTCCTCCTTCACGAAAAACACCTCGGGCGCAGCATCCTCAGTCAGCGGGGCCGCCTGCGCAAGCTGGCCGGAGAAGGCGTAGTCCGCGCCGAAGGCCTGCTGGTAGCGGTGCATCGTCACCTGAGCGACGGAACTTACGCGAGACAGCATAGCGTTAGGAAGCCTAAGGTTCGCTGGGGACTGGCTTTCCCCCCAACCGACCGTAACCCTCCCGAAGCCATCCTAAAAGCCTCCCGGAATCGTTCCAAGAGGCCGAAAGTGGAGGAACACAGCTCCCGTCGTGATTATGTAATGGCCTTAGGTCGGGCATGTCCTCCTACAGGCGGATCTAGGACGAAATAGAAACTAGTCAACAATACTCGATGATAGCCAAAAATAAAAAACATTCGTCCCTGGATTATTTCTTGTGGGCAACTTTTGAAGATTCCTCCTGTTGAGGGACATGCCCGACGTAATCATGGCCCGAAGCGGTCTGGGCTCGGGGTCGAGCCCGTTCCCTGGCGTCGCTCGCCTCCCTGCCGAACAGCCTGGCCGTCCCCAGCGCGGGCGGGTGGCGCCGCCACAGGGCCTCGAACATGCCCGCCCGCGGCGGCAGCAGGCCCCGCGCGTGCCAAACCCAGCTGCCTCCGTCTGGCAGGTGAAGGGGAACGAATGGGGCCCAGGGACACACGTTTTGCGTCGGCGGCTGGGCAGAGGTTGCTGCTCCGGCGATCGGGCATCAGTGGGGCGCGCCAGTGGCAGAGGGCCCAGGGGCACACAAAGGAACAGACACAACTCCCAGGCTGCACCGTGTTTCCGACATCCTCTGGGCGCTCGTCTTCCCTGCCACTTCCCACGTGTTCCATACACACATGTGTGTGTCCTGGGGACCGACCATTACTCCAGAATTCGTAATAAAGGGAGGGGGGTCTCATTTCGGGGGGGGGTCTCTTCCAGGCTATCTTGGAGGGCCTGGGGGGTCTGGGGACGATGTTTTGGAGGGTTTTCCCACGGGGGAGGTCTGAAATGGCTTGTCTTGGAGGGTCCAGACCCCCGCCCTTTCATTACGAAATCTGGAGTATTTGTGTCTGTGTGTCTTCTTCCCTCTTTATGGAAGGGGCCCTGGGGCACATTGGGACCCCAGACCTCCTCAGGATTCGCGCCGAAGCCACGCGGGAATGCCATAACAACAAAAGGGCGGGGGCCACGATCCTCCCAGACGAGCAGTCTTGGACCTCCAAGATTAATCACGGAGAGGGCGGCCTCTGTCCAGACTGCCACTGGAAACCTCCACGGCAGCCCCAGTCAGACCCCCCAAAAATTATTCACTGCGTGGGGATCCCCATATGTGCATCTCCTTGCTGGCGCTCCCTTGGTGGTGGGACTCGGTGAGGACGAATCTGGATTTAAGTGTGACTGAGCTGCCTCTCTCTCTGCTCTCTCTGCTCTCTCTGTCTCTCTCTCTCTCTCTGCCCTCTCTCTGTCTCTGCCTCTCTTTCCCTGCCTCTCTCTCTCTCTGCCTCTCTCTCTGCCTCTGTCTCTCTGCCTCTCTCTCTCTCTCTGCCTCTCTCTCTGTGCCTCTCTCTCTCTGCCTCTATCTCTGCCTCTCTCTCTCTCTCTCTCTCCTCTCTCTCTTCTCTCTATTCTCTCTCTGCTCTCTCCTCTCTCTCTCACTCTCCCTCTCTCTCTCTCTCGCTCTCTCTCTTCTCTTCTCTTCTCTTCTCTCTCTCTCTCTATCTCTCTCTCTCTCTCTCTCTCTTTCTCGCTCTCTATCTCTCTCTCTCTCTCTTCTCTCTCTCTCTCTTTCGCTCTCTCGCTCTCTCTTGCTCTCTCTCGCTCTCTGTCGCTCTCTCTCGCTCTCTCTCTCTCTCTCTCGCTCTCACTCGCTCTCTCTCGCTCTCTCTCGCTCTCCCTCGCTCTCTCCCGCTATCTCTCTCTCTCTCTGCTCTCTCTCTCTCTCTCGCTCTCTCCCGCTCTCTCTCTCTCTCTCTCTCTCTCTCTCTCTCTCTCTCTCTCTCTCTCTCTCTCTCTCTCTCTCTCTCTCTCTCTCTCTCTCTCTCTCTCTCTCTCTCTCTCCTCTCTCTCTCTCTCTCTCTCTCTCTCTCTCTCTCCCCCCCTCTCTCTCCACTTCTCTCTCTCTCTCTCTCTCTCTCTCTCTCTCTTCTCTCTCTCTCTCTCTCTCTCTTCTTCTCTTCTCTCTCTCTCTCTCTCTCTCTCTCTCTCTCTTCTCTCTTCTCTCTTTCTCTCGCCTGTCTCCTCTCTCAACTCCCCTCCCTCTCTCTCTCTCTCTCTCTCTCTCTCTCTCTCTCTCTCTCTCTCTCTCTCTCTCCTCCGCTCTCTCTCTCTCTCTCTCCTCTCTCTCTCTCTCTCTCTCTCCAGAAGGAGGAAGCCGCAGCGGCCGCCGAGCCCGCGGCAGCCTGCAGTGCGACCGACCAGCCAGGCCAGGCCACCCCAGGGACGGGGCCCCCAGGGGCCGACAAAGGCAAGGACAAGGGTCGGGCCACCCAGGACCCGTATTGAAGGTGCCTCAGAGAGCCCGCCTCAGCCCTCCGAGGAAGCGCCTTCAGAGGCACCGCTCCCCTCTTCGCGTCGTATCTCTTTCTTGTTACCTCATGTCTGTTTTGGCAGCAGCACGCGCAAGCTCTCTGGTGTAGGGACACCCGTAGTCTTGCAGGGGGCGTGATTGTAGCGATGTGCATGAGCATTCAGGGGTGTATGAGGACGTGTGCTGCCACGCAGCTTTCGGCTCATCGCTCGCGCCGCCCGCCAGGCCTCGCCATCATGCGGCGCCTCGCCTGCGGCCTGGCCCCCCCCTCGCTGGCTGGAGCACGCCCGTCTTCAGGCGGTGCGCCCCAGCACGGAGGAGAGGCTTTCCTGCGACATGCGGAGCGTAGGACGTTCTTCTACCTTTACGATGACAGCATCTACAAATACGATCACAGCGCCATTTTGGACCCGATCGTGAACAGCACCGCCGCCGCTGGCCCGTGCGGCACCGGGCTGCTGGGCGCCCCCGCGAGCGCCTGGCCTGAGCAGCACCAGGGGCCCTGCCCCACGCGCTGCCCCCCTGGGACTTCGACGGCTACTACTATGCCTACGCCGAGTACCAGCACGTCTCCTACGAGCACGCCCTCGTCAACTACGACACATGCATCGCAGTCGACCGCCGATTTTGCCGCAGCTGAGCTGACTCCTGCGTCCTCCGGCCACGCCTCGCACCGCATGCAAGTTCAGCTACGAGGGCTACCATCACTCAATACGACGCCTGCGGTCGACCGTCGTACAGCATATCCTCGATGGCACCCTGTCTTCAGCTTGTCCTCGACCGTCGTGCAGCATATCCTCGACAGGGCCGCTGGCAAGGCCCAGGCACGCAGTGGCGGCTTCAGCCCCGCTGCAGTGCCCTGGCTGCCACCGCCCCCGCATGAGGCAACGCACGCCGCGCACGACCACCTGCGAGAGTTACCACCGACCACGACGCCTGCCGCCGTACGTCGCACCGTGTACCCTCCAGAGTGTCGCACCCCCACAGCGTGCCGACCTGACAGCTTCGACATTACTGACAGCGGTGGGCCGTGCCACGCTGGAAACCACGCCGCTGAGCCAGCGCCGCAGACGGCTCCACCGTGGCCCCCACAGACCACAGGCGCCTCGCTGCGAGCCATCTGGCTCCTCGTGCCCTACCTGTGCATCACCGTGGAGCCCAACACGCTATGTGGGCTGCTAATTATGGCCGTGCTTAGCACCCACGCACACGGCCTGACTACCAGCAACACAGCGAGTCCCGCTTCCCCTCTGTGCGCCAGGGGTGAACCTGATGAGGACCCCGCCTTCTGGCACCTGATGAACATCCGAGCACGGCTCATCCCGTGCGCCGCGGCGTGGGCACCAGGTGAGGACCATCAGGACGTTTACTGGGCATGGCTCGAGGACTGCGTCCCGCACGTCCTGGCGACGCTCCATCTGCCACAGTACGACCACCTTTTCCAGGAGGACTCCGCGGAGAAAAACGACGCCCTGCGACACCGCACCGCGGTCGACATGTGCGAGGATATCTGGCACAGAGCGGGCCCCGACAGACAGCGCACCAACCGCAACCTCACTCGTATTCAGGGCAGCCACGAGTACCCCACCCGTTACCTTGGCCTCCTTCTGGAATACCAGTGCGCTCGTGCCCAGCTCGTCGGCCCTGAGGCTTTCGCGGCACCACTGCCGCCATGCCTCTCACGGGCCCACGCCTTGCTACCAAGAGGCCTCCCTCCGCCCGACCAAGACGCCCTGGCGTATCTCGTGGATGCGATCCCGCACCACCCGCCAGACCTGCAGCCGCTTGTCGAGGCGGAGCTCGCCGCGGCACCGATGGAACCGCTAAACCTACCACCGCCCGCTGGCCCCCCCGCCCAAAACGCCACGTGTGACCAGCCCGCGGCCGACGCTGAACCGCTTCTGCTCCAGCACGCAGCTGCCAGCGATATCAGCAACATATCCCTGGACTCGTTCCACGTGTCGGACGATAGCCAGAACGACTCCATCCACGACACGGAAACCCAGGACCCCGACGGCACGCCACCGCCAAGTGACGCTGCCCAGCGCGACCGTGACAGCGATCCCCACACAGGGCGCTCCCTGTCGCGCAGCAGTGCGCCCAACAACTCGGCCCAGGCCGACCCCAGCGCACAGCTCAGCGACGCCGAAGGTGCCACCGCCGCCGACGAGCCAGGCCATGCCACCGCACCGCCAGCTCCCACCAGCCCGCGCAGTGGCGGCTTCAGCCCCGCTGCAGCACTGGCTGGACCTGGGCGTCTTCAGACCTCAGGTGGCAGGACCCCGTCCCGCACCCTTGTCCGCCGAGCTAACTCGACTGACTCCAACTCCAGCCCCGTCGACCACTGGCAGGCTGGCCTCGACAACGATCCCATCGAGGACGCGGACCCCGACGCCAGCGGCTCCCATGAGGCCCCGCACAGCGCAGCGGCCTCTCGACGCTGCGGCTGTCTCATCTGCCTCTTCGTGGTCACGTACGCCATCTTGGTAGCCATGCCGTACCAGGACCAGATCGACGGGTACCTGCCGACACCGAGCCGAGACCCCAGCTACCGGCAGCGACGACGCCGTGAAGCTGCGGCACCAGGCCCATCCGTGTCCACTACGCCCCGACGCACAATAGCATACGACGCCGCGCCCGCCTTGTGGGGTCTTCTCAAGTGGACCAGCGCCAAACTCAGAGACATTGTCTCGGGCGGAGCCAGCGCAGTCGGGTCTGGCCTCTGGGGCGCCCTGAAATGGGCCAGCGGCAAACTCGGAGCTATCGCCACAGGCGGAGTGGTTTGCGGTCTCCTCCTGGTCGGCGCCAAACTTCTCGCTCAAGGAGCCGTCGGACACGTAGGAGCCCGCATCTGTGCGCGCGTCCTGGACTCACCCACGGCCCAGTGGTGCCTCCGCTGTTGCCAACCGATCAGGAGCCCGCGCGATGAGGCCCCACACACGCTTCCGCGCACGCATCCCGACGACCCCGAGAGCCAGCACGTGCACCCCCTTCGACACCCGCTGCTACAGGAACACTACGCCGCTGCAGTTGCCGCCGCAGTCGCCGATGTC